GCTTCAAGATCTACTTAGTTCTGCTATACTGTTATAAAATAATATTGCTGTTATAAAATAATAATAAACTGCGATACTGTTATAAAATTTTTGCTATAAATATTGCTATAAATACAGAAAGAATGAAATTTTTCAAAATCTATAAGGGGATGTCTTTAATCCCCCAAAACGACACTGGTGACAGTGCACTAAATAACTGAGCTATCGATGATATGTGTTTAAGAGAAAAACAAACCTAATTATAAATTTCTTATAAGCTCTAGGTATGCTGAAAGGGTGCGCATGTTAGCTTTTTTGCTCCTAAAGCAATTTTTTTTAAATTAATTATTTTACGTAAAAATATTGAAATGAACAAATAAGAGGTATAGATATGATATAGGTGTGGAATAAGTATAGAAATGGTAGATTTGGTAAAGACCCATATAATTTATGGTTCCGGAAAGCTAGGATATATATAAGGAAAAAGTATAGAAAAGTTCAGTGTGGAATAGACTTACAAAGACCCGTATTTTTATGGGTCAGATCAGCTAATATATATATATATATATATATATATATATATATATATATATATATATATATATATATATATATATATATATATATATATATATATATATTATCCATTAAGTAAATCAAACTAAATTTTACTTTTAAATAAATGTATAATATTATTGGCTTCCACGCAGAGACTTAAAGTAATTTAAATTCAAAAGCAAATATGAACAAAAATCTCCGCGCAAAAGAGCAAATAATCATACTATTTAAATAAAAATCTTAATAGATAGAAATGGAGCGACCTAAGAGAATTATGCAGCTTTTTTTGCCAAAATCCCATTGTCCAATATTATAATCCAAATTTGTAATCCAATATTATTAGTGGTGTGGTAGAGTCTTCAAACCATAACAATCAAGATAAACAGTCAAATGATAGCCTATAGAACATTCAAATAAAGCCATAGATGATATTCTGGTGATTTTGAAGATATACAAATGATATCAAGGTTCAGAGAAGACTCAAAAAGAAATATGTTCCTTCTGACGTTTCTCAGTTAGGTAATTTGAATGCAACCCAGACAAGCCAAATGATTTCCCATCCTCCTTTTATATTAATAGATTCTCTCATATAGATTCTGTTACAGCCAATCACTTTCTTATATTAAGAAAGTGATTGGTTATAACAAAATCTATGTGAGAGCTGACCAAACCAAAACAAAAAGATATCATCTTCTAAACTCCATGCTGGATTTCTGGGCAGTCTGTTTTAGGTTGGTTTGCTAGACAAGTAGAAAATAAGTCTTAACCAATTATATAATGTCTACGCTGTGTCATAAACCAACAGATCCAGTTAATACAGTTTTTTCACCCTCTTTTTTAATTGCAATTTTAGATTTTAAATGCTTTTATACGAATGCTACATCTTTGGAGAACAAATTGACTGATTTTAAAGCCTCAATGCCTGCATTATATCATCCCCATATAATAGCCATTACTGAGACCTGGTTCAATTTGCTGACTTCTATAATTAACTACACTAAATATTTACAAAATTATGAAGCAAGAGGTGGTGAGTTGTTTATATTAGAAATTATATTTATTCATTTAATTGTGAGTTCAATGATCAGCAGCTTGATGAGCAAATCTGGTGCAAAATTGTTGTAGGGCATGATTGTATCCTCAGACACAATATGATTCTAATGTTCAAATTAAAAAATTGCATGTGCTATTAGAGCATATAAGTAATCGTTTTCTCTCCCAGTTCGCTACTGAACCTACTTTTCTCTTAGGCAACACATTAGACAGTATTTTTTGATGACCTTGATTACATTTTCAATATTGTTTTTGGGCCTGTTGTGAACTTAAAAAATTGCTTTCATTGTTTGTTGCTATGGGATTTTAAACTATCTTCTTGAATCAATGTACTTATATATTAATATTATTGAGCATCTCAGTCCAATTTAATGTATCAAGACCTAGATTAAAAGCATTATAATCTTTTAATCTTAGATCTTTTTCATATATAAAATTTAATTTATAAATAACAGTATTTATAAATTTTTGGTTCAACAGTAACATTAACTAAAGTCTAACATTCTAATTCAAGGGTCTGATCTTTTTACTTCTCTCCCAGAATAAAGCAGAGTTATTTGCAAAGAAATCTTACTCTAATTTGACTCTTGAATATAAAGGCCATACTCTTCCTGACAGTTAAACACATTAACCCATTTTTAAACATTGAAATTGCTGACTTTCAATGCTAAAATTAATTCTCAGTTAAACACTTCTACAGTTTGTGCTCCAGAATAGATTTCCGTCAATCAAGTTTTCTCCAGAACTCTCTTCAATTTTTGCTAAACTTTTAAAAAGTGCTAAATAAGTGGTTCCATTTTTCAAAACTCTTGAAACCACTTTAACCTCTCCAACTATCCTGCCATTATTCTTCACTCAGTATCTTTATATAAAGGTTTTGAGGTTATTAAATTATTTCTTTCTACTATAGTAAAGTTATTCTACTATATACTACTATATTATTCTACTATATAACTACTATAGTAAAGTTATTCATGAAGGCCTACCCTCTTCTTTATTTCAAGTAAACTTAAGGGTAACACAAGGTTCTATCTTTGCTCCTGTATTGTTTCTTATCTACAGTAACAATCTTCATGAAATCTAAGCTAGCTCTATTTGTCAATGACTCAACTTTATACTCTTGTCTTGATTACAAATTTTCCCTTTTTTAACTGCTTAGAACAAGCAGCCAATTTTAAATATGATATCTCTTCTGTAACAGCCAAGGCTTGCAATGGCTTATGGATTTAAATTCTGAACTTAAAACCCACAATTTTGGTTAGACAATAAAACTCATTTATTTACTGCAAAAAAATTTATTGCAATATTATTGATATTCCTATATTGACAATTAAAAACCGTCTCAGACAAAGTCTAAAAGCACATTCTAAATGTATAAGAACCTGCTTTATCTGCCAAACTTGAGCCATTCTCTCATTATTGTAAGGTTGCATTTCTTTCTTTTTTTCTACAAATACAATCATGGTCAATGCTCAAACAAGCAATCACCGATATCAACGATAAACCAAAACTCATTCTTGCTTGGCTTTTTATTCAACAATCCTTTTTTCTGTATTTGTGCCTTTATGCTGAAAAAAACTTTTATTAATCCAGTTTTTTTCTTTGTACATCAAAGAAACCTTATAACTTTTACCCCTCTTCATGTGTTCCTTTTTTATATAACTTACAACTTTTTAAGTCTTCAGTTATACGTTTCCTAGTATTTTTACTTGTTCTCTAATTTAAAGTAACTCAGAACTTGATAGTGGTTGCTTGCAATCTTGTTGGAAATAAATTGGAGTTTAAAAATATATAAATGCTATTTATAACTAATTATAACGCTCTAAATAACTATTCGAAGGTTGCCGAACAACATTGATCGGCTGAAATAAAAAAATTAAAAACCAATAGTTTTTTAAATGATCAATTTTTTATTAAGTTTTTACTAAAATTTACAATGCATTTTTTTGATTCTACCTCGCTTGATTTTTGTTTTGCCATTATAATTTTATAACTTTTAATTAATTATAATTTTATTTATTCTCTTTAGAATTTAAGTAAATCGTTCATTTTGCTGTTTTGAATTTATTAATTTTATTTAGAATTTAAGTATACCGTTGGTTTTGCCGTTTTTCTTTTTGTAATATTTTGAGTATATATAAAACATTGTATTTTTTATTTTAATTATTTTATTTAGAGTTTATATATATCGTCTGTTTGTTTAAATTTTGTTTAGAATTTAAAAAAATAATCTTTTGCTGTTTTTATTTTAGTTATTTTATTTAGAATCGAAATAAATCGTTTATTTTACCGTTTTTATTTTAATTATTTTATTTTGAAACAATAAAACTTTGCCTTTTTTTTTATACATATTTTATTAAAAATATAAATATTTTATTTAGAATTGAAATAAATCCAATGTCGTTTTTATTTCAAATATTTTATTTAGGATTGAAATAAATAGTAGTGGCCTTCTCGGCCTTGAGGAGGTAAATAACACACAAAAAAAAAAAAAAAAAAAAAAAAGTTTGACAAAACACAGCATAAACAATATCAAAAAACAATTCAAATATTCCAAATGTTTTGTTAAACATAAATTGCTTAACATATAGTTGAAATGGCCATTTTGTACCTAAAATCTGTACTGCATAAGGCTTTATAACTAGGCCAGAATTTAAATTCACTAGAGGGGGATGGGGATAGGTTGGCCAGGGTGCTTCCCAACTTTTTTTTTTTTTATCAGGACTGATAAAAAAAAAAATCCCAAAGGGGATTTTTTTTTTCATCAGTCCTGCCCAGACTATTCTGGGTATGGCACTGACCATGTTAAAAAAAGCGTAATCATGTGGCTATAATTTGAAAACAATTCTTGACTAAATAAATTTTTTTAAAATATGTACATTTTTTTACTGTTTTCACATCCTCAAGTCAGAGAGAACATCTATAGTCTGAGGCTAATCTTTTTTTTTTTAAGTGTTAACCTTCTCCCAACCCTTTAACTTAAAAACATGAACAAACAAGGCCACTGTGTGGAGAAACAATATAAACATTGAAATTATGGGGATAAAACTTGCAATTTCTAAAGTTGGTGGGGATAAAACTCATGTTTACAAAGCTAACACTCTACCATTATTTGAATTTATTGAAAACACAACATATTATTTGAATTTGTTGAATACTAAGACTGCTTATCTACTAATATAACAACTTGTTTCTCCGTGCAGCGGCCTTGTTTTTCAAGATTTGTGTTTCGGAGTAATAGAGTTGAGAGAGGGTTATAACCACTATTAAGTAGCCTCCTCATCTGTAGTGGCCATCTCAAGTTTAAGGAAGGAACAAAAAAAAAAAAAGACTGTTTAGTTAATATAATATTTTTGTAAAGAAATTCTGTATCTTAGGACTTGGCATTTTAATGTTAATATAATGTTTAGGTTCTTTTTCGAATTATCAAGCCGAAGCAAAACTTTTTTATGGCTGTTGATGGATGTGCACCAAGAGCAAAAATGAACCAGCAAAGAAGCAGAAGGTTTAGGTAAGTTATTTAGTTACCTCTTACTTTGTTAAATACTTATAATTGAACCTTTTTTATATTAAATAGTTTTTAGTTGTTCATAAATTCCGTTAAGTGTTTTGTTTTATTAATTAGCATTTATCAATTAATTATTCCATATAAAATTCAACTCTGGGATTGGAATTCTAAAATGCAGAAATTTTTTTAATTACATTTTAATTTTTTGGATAAAGTTTTTAATGTAAAATTGAGTTCTAAGACAAATGTTGGCACTCCAAATGTCACCCAACCAAATGTCTCATTTAAAAAAAATTTGTTAAAAAAAAAAGCAAAAAAAGGTTCCACTGATGGTCACCATGCTAACCCTTGTTAAGATATTGTTGTAATAAATAATGAGAAAATTATCTTAGTGGGACTCAGGCTTTGCACTTTTTTCTTAACTTAGCCATTGATTGGATATCTATTTGTCACTATCTTAGAGTTCTACATTTAAAAAAATCTAAGTGTGGAAAACTCTGTTTAAAAATATCTAGACTTAAGGATTGACTGATTATTTCTTAATTAAGTATGAAGTAGTCAAATCAGTGCAAATTGTTTTTTAAACTTGCAATTGAACAAACTAATGTGCCATTTTGTATGAATTCAACATTTTGTGAACTTATGTAAAGTTTAATGTTTATATCATGGAACATATTTAGTTCAAAGCTTACTTTGTAATGTAAAATAAATAATCATTTTACAGCAAAAAGAAAAATTAAACAATATTTTACAATATATTAAATGTTTTAATTAAAATATACGTGCTGATTTTAAACTTATAGAACTTAATTACTTATTAAGTTTTACTTTCTTTTTGTTAGTTAAAGTTGTTAATATAGTAATAGTGTTTTATAGTATTTAATGTTGTGATGTTTTTCAATATTTTCAAATCATTCTAGTTGATTATGTTTTAAAGTTAAATTTTTTTGTGATTAAAACTTATTGTTACTTTTAAAAACATTTTTATATTTCAATTTTTAAATTAATACTTTTATTTAACATTTTATTATAAATATAAATTATAACAACCGGATAGGACAGCTAAAGAAGCAGAAGAAGCCATTCGAAAAGCAATTCAAAAGGGCCAAACATTACCACCAGATGATCGTTTTGATTCAAACTGTATTACACCAGGTAACCTTTTCACATTTAAAAAGTATTCTGGTTGTAGTATAGTTGACCAACTGGTTGACCAACTATACTTATAGAGCTAATTGTACTTTTTTTTTAATTAATTTTAATTTATTATGTGCAAAGATCTACTTATATAATCATATAAAGTTCTGATTGGTTATACTAATAGAGCTAATTATGTAATTTTATGTTCTGATTGGTTATGCATACAAACATTTTAATGGAGGAAGTTCTGATTGATTCTGATACATACAGGTCTAGCATATATAGTTTTTGATATTGATTTGACTTAATTAGATTTAAATTGAGTTAATAAGTATGTTAATTTTTTATTGGTCATATATATATTTATGTTAATATTTAAACTTCTGACTGTTTTGTTTGTTGAAAGTTTTTTGAGATAAAAGATAATTTCAATTAAAAAGAGGTATAAAAAAATTATATAAGAAGTAGCAAGATTATTGTTTTAAAAGTTGATGAAAACTATTTTAAGTATTGAAGCAAACTTGACGTATGAAAGATTTTTTATGTAAAAAATTTGGTGGCCTCACTAACTCAACCTAATTTTATTAATTTATTCCAGCCATAAAACTTGTTAGAGTTTTAAGAATTGCAAGACACTGGTATTGAAGCAAACTTGACGTATGAAAGATTTTTTATGTAAAAAATTTGGTGGCCTCACTAACTCAACCTAAATTTGGTGGCCTCACTAACTCAACCTAATTTTGAATTTTCATAAATCATTATGACAATTATGACGATTTTGATTTTCAATCTCTTGATTAATAAATTACTACTAATTTTTAAACATAGTGAATCATCAAACTACTGAATTTTTAACATACTGTATTTGTTTTGCAATAGGATAAAGCATTTCAGTATAACAGTGAATATTTTATAGAAGAAAATATTTCTTAAATAATAAAACATCTTTCCTTATTTAATATAATACCTGTCCATATTACATTTTAATAAAATGTACCACTGTACTAGTTTGTAAAAAAAATTATCATAAAAATGTAAGTAAAAATTATTTAAAAGGCAGACTAGTAGGTTGAAATGAATACTACCTATAATTGGTTAAATTAATTTGTCTCTAATTGGTTGAAAATTGAAATTTATAAAAAATTTAATTTTTTTTACAAATTTACTCTTAACAAGGCTGCAAGTAGCCACTGTTTAAGTTTTTTACTTTTTTACAAAGAGATGCAAAAAGCAAGAAAGATTTTTTACAAAGAGAGGCAAATAGCAAGAAAATCAGGAGAGATAATAAGATCATTTATAAGTGATGAAATGTTACACTTATGTTTGTTAATGAAAAGTTGTTAGACTTATGTTTGTAAAGACTTTTATTTCTAGAAACTTTTGAGAAAAAATATAAGAATAGACATTGATGCAAAATTTATCATTTAACCCTAAGTCAAATGATAATTTTTGCATCAATGTTGAATTGATAAAAAGATGTTATAATTTTTTTAGTTTCAATGTGCTGTATATTTTTTTGACCAATCCGTGCTTATATAAAGTTACTCCACGCAAGCGCAATAAACATGTTTAAGTAATAATAGTAAAGATGGCTGATTTGGATGGGTTAGATGAAAGTTTTGTGTTAATGTTAAAATCAGGAAAAAGGAAAAAAAAAAGTTCTGCAAGAGAGAAAAAACAGTTATTTAGACATTCAAGTGGAGGTAAAATTCCTTTTATATCATGTAATCATGTTTCAGGTTACTGCAAAGTGAGTTTTTTTGGTTTTATCGATCTTTGTATGTTGAAATTTATAATTCAGTTATGAGTTTAAAATTTTAATATACACAATGTAAGATTACTTGGCATAGTTTGGCAAAATAATCATTTATTGATTGACTTATTTCAGGCTCGAGATATAACAAGATAATTTGGATGAACATCATACAGAGTTCTATAGTATTGCAAGTAAAGTCACAAGATGCTACTATACTGTCAATGCTTAATATAAACAATATGAAAAGAGTCAGAGTGAAATATAATAATTGAAAAAAGTTAAGAACTATGAGTATTGAGTACTTTTTATGCTGTGAGGGAATTATAGTACGAGTTTGCCAAGCTTCATTTTGTTCAGTATTGTGTAAGTATAAAATTACTTTACTTTTAATTCAGAAATAAAATGTATATTTTGTTAAAAAAAAATTAGTGAAAAAAAGTTAATATTTTATTAATTTATTCCAGCCATAAAACTTGTTAGAGTTTTAAGAATTGCAAGACACTGGTATGAATATGGAACAATCAGACCTGAAAATAGAGGAGGAGACAGGAAGAAAGTAACCTTTTCTGAAAAGAAAGAAGCTATTAAAAACCATATTCAGTCTTTTACTTGCAGAGCAAGTCATTATGGAAAAAAAGATGCTCCAGGACATAAATATTTGCCTGCTGATTTAAATGTAAAGCAGATGTACAAACTTTTTTTTGGATAAAAACAATACTTATACTGTAGGCTACCATTATTATTATGGGGTATTTATGAACCATTTCAATTTAGCTTTTGGATACCCAGGAACAGATACATGCTCTACATGTAAAATATATAAGTTGGCTATGAAAAACCAAAATATTATAGATGACCAAAAAAATTAAAAACTGCTCTTTTCATTCTTCATCAAATGAAAGCCAGAAAATTTTATAGTCTTCTCAATGATATTCATTCCAATGAGATCACTATCTGTTTTGGCATGATGGAGAACCTTGTACTACCAAAATTATTAATTTGAGAAGCCTACTATTCTAGGCAGTTTATTTTTATGACCTTGGTGTTGTTATTCATAAAGGTGATAAGTCTCAGTCTGTTATTGATATATATTTCTTTACTTGGATGGAGTGTGAGAATAGGAAAGATTCAAATATGATCAGGGCGCAACAAATCGTTTTTTTTTCACAAACGTTGACGTTTGTATCTTAAATTATTGACAAACGTCTAATTTAAGTGATACGTGTCAAATAATATATAAGAATATAAGTTTTATATTCAAATAAATTTTTATTCTAGTTAATAAGCTTTTGGATATATGAAAGATGGTTATTAAATTTAATCAATTGTCATATTTTCGAAACAATTTTTCATGCATTTGCAAAGTGCGCGCAAATTATTAATTTTTAATATGCAATGATTGTATACTGTTATTCAACGATGCAAAACTTTTTTTTAAATTTAGTTTGTTAAATTTATTTACTCATAAAATATACGTATAAACGTAAAGAAATTATAATAAAAGGAACTAAAGAAATAAATCGAAAAATGACATCTCATTTATAAATATATATTAATTTTTATATTTATATAAATGGATTTAAAAATCGCTAGAACTTTTTAATTTATGGCCTTCCAAATGTCTAATACCAACCACTGCGTCAATCCAATTTTTGACATGTTTTTGGGGCAAAACGTCTTTAATTAACTGGCCATCAAGCTTTATACGCATAATATCTTCTAAGGTATCGTCATTTAATGAAGTTCGCAAAATATTTTTTTGTAAGTTCATACAAGAAAAACTGCGTTCGCAACTTGCCTTGAAGCGCTGAAAGTTAGCATAATCTCTAACAAGACATTTGTACTTGCAGATTCAGGTTCATTTTCCAGCAAAATATTATTATAAATGGTTAAAAGTGAATTTATCCTTAGTTTAGAGACTTTCTCCCTGAATAAAGGCCACTGGGATAGACATACATAAGAAGTTTCTCTGGTTATCATTTGTTAAATGTTAACCTATTATAAAGGTTAACCTATTGTTCTCATAAAAGTTGCAAACACTTTTTATTTCATTAAATCCCTATTTTATCAACATTGCTAATATTTGGATACTTTTGACAAACCCAGCAAGAGAAACACTCATTTGATTTGTCAATATGAATCCAGCTTAGTTGTTGCCCGTGTTTTTTATTGCTTGGCGGCAATCCATTTACAGTGTTATAAAACATAAATTCAATATCTTTTGGCCATATATCCAATTTTCCCAAAGTCATAGCACAATCCAAGTCATTGAACTTTTTTTTCGCATGTTTAGTTTCTCTCTCTTCTTCTCCTTTACGTTTAATATTACGTTCCTCTGTACCATCTCTCTTTAACATCGAAAAGATTCTTAGTTGTTTTGACATTTTTTAAAAAATTTAAAAATAATAGTAATTAAGTATTTAATAATAACTTAATAAAAATATCATATTATTGGTGTTGTTAAACGCACAATAAAAAAATTAAAATTTTAACAAACATAATAACTTTATATATTCTATTAGATTATATATTTTTTAGCAAAACTTGAACATTATTTTCAAAACTTTTATAAGTTTTAAAATGCAAACTAACATTACTTCACTTTAAGGAAAATAAGATAAAAACAAAAAACACGCTATTAAAAAAAGCAATCGTTGTTTAAGCATGGTTTTTTTTAACGTAATTGCAAATGGAGTCATTTTAAATAAAATTTTGAATGCATTTTTAAACGCATGCAAAAACCATGCTCAAACTAATTTCTTTCTTCGTTCCATTGAAGAAAGTAGCTTTAGCGTGGTTTCTTTTAAAGTCTTTGAAAATGGGTTAAAAATTTTCGTAATTGATTGTTTTTTGTGTTTTTTTTAGTAAATAAAAAACGATCAATAGTTAATTGTTTGGAAAAAAAAATTGCTATAGTAAGGCGTTCATTTTGAAAAATTTTAGGCGAACGCCAACGTTTGCTTTAGGAAAAGTAAAGGAACGTGACATTCGTTTTTCTTTTTTTTTGTGCAGACGTTCGCACATTCGTCGATTTTTCGCGGCTTGATGATATGTTAAGCTATAGAACATCTACTTAAAAATGTTTTAAAAGATAAATGTTTCAACACTTTGTCACTTCAGTTGTTTTCTGATGCATGCTATGGCCAGAACAAAAACATAAATATGACGTATGCTTCTTGCTCTAAGAAACTGCAGTTAAACTTAAACTGCAGTTCAGCTAGATATTAAAAAGAGAAACCAAATTTTTCAGCCTGATGAATACATACACATATTTAGCCAGCATGGGCAGGATTGGTCAGCACTCGACTTTAGAAGTCAAAAAGTTTGTCATGAGCAAAAAAACATTTAAAATCAGTGATGCAAAAAAACTTGTTATTAATTCAGACAAGCTAGAAGTAGTTGCATTTAGTTACCATTCTGAGCCAAAATTACACAGTATCCTTAAAAAAAGGAAGAAACATTTAGACCACAACGTTTGGAATTAAATAACTGTGTTAAACTTGTTAAGAAAGACGATGTTTTTTGTCTTCTCGGTCTTGTAGGAGTAGAAGGCAGAATACTTACTGTGTATAAAACACTACTCTGTAATGCCACTGAAGATGATACTAACCTTAGTAAAGAAGATAGTTCAAAATTTGATTTAAATGTTTTTTAGCTGTGAGTTTTGTAAACATGTTTTAGTTAAGATACAAATATTTTAAAAAATCTTCAGCATAACGTGATTTATTTTGTTGTTTTTTTAATTTATGTTATTGAATACAAGAATACAATAGTCATAAACACCTTATATATTTTTATAGCACTTGTGAATTGTTTAAAAAAAGTTGCTGTTTTATATCAAAGGAGAACAAAATTTTAAGATCTTAGAATGCATAACAAAATAATGTTTCATTAATAAATATATTTTGTTAATGAAATGGATATAAAGCGTTTTGTTAATAAATAATACTTGGATATACAGCGTTTTGAAACAAAACAAAAATAACCACTGAAAATATACATCGATTTCATAAAGTTTGATTTCAGCATATATTGTAGTAAAGTGCATGTTTAACTAAATCAAAAATAACTTATTCCAAAATACTTAATTTTTTTATGCAGAAGAAAAGTTCGATTTACTCAAAACCCAAAAAATGGGTTTGCAACGTTTTGATGTAAATAAATCTACTTTTATAACTATAACTTTACTCAGGAAAAAGATTTTTTTATAATTCAAATTTCTGTTAGAAAAAAAAAAAATTCTTATTAAATTATGTAAAAAAAAAAATCTTTTTTTTGTGAAAACTTATTAAGAAAAATAATTGACTAAAATAATCTATAAAAAAACAGGAAATTTAAAATTCTCATAAAAATCGAATTATTTATTTCCATTCAAAATTTAAAGACTAAAATATTGGAAATTTTTCAAAGAATCTTTGTATTGTTTTTTCTTTCTAACTTTGATTGGTTCTAAAGTTATTACAGAAATACTAAATGGGGGAATTTCCCCACCTATTTATATTAAATAGAAATGCACTTTGATTGTATAATTAATATTATTTCCCTTCCTCTTGATTTGGTAATTAATTTCTCAAGTCATGTTGGTCTTATAATCAATTCAAATTAATTAAATTGATTAATTATCAGCAACATTTTTGCAAAACGACGAGAGAAAATCTTCACCAATTTTAGCGAAGAGCTAATGAAAAAAGCCATTACAAAACTGGTGAACTGAGTTGCAAGCGAGCTGCAGAATTATACTGTATACCTCGAAGGACACTAGGATAAAAAATTCAATAACCAGAAAGGATAGCTGTGGCTGTTACATTAACAAATCTCCTGGATGAAAGAGTGCGAACTTATTACTGAAAATGCCACTTAACTTGCGGAAAACTAGGTAAAAAAATTACTTTATATTTAGGTTAGATTTCTGCAAATCAGTAAAGCAGTTTGTATTCGAAATTTTTACAAGATGTTAAGAATTCTATACCAATTTAAAAAATATATAAAATTTTATCAGAGGTGAATGGGTAAGGAAAATAAACTGTTTTTTTTGATACTATATATCTAACTTATGTTACATCACTTATGTTACCCAGCCTTAGAGTGCGATCGCACTCTGTAACTGACCATGGTAATAGCTATTTTGATGTTTTAACAATTTAAATGCAATAAAAAGTGTTACTTTATGAATAACTTTTAATCGTTGATCTTTTCTAAAGTTTTTGTTTTATGCGAAGGCTTTAAATTAAAACCATATAATTAATTATTTTTTTAATGATTGTTTACATAAATGTGTGTGTAAATAAATAAAAAATGTTATATATAAATTTTTTTTTATGTAGGCATGTATTTTTCATGATAAATTTAAACATTTGAAATTATTTTCCCATGTCTTCCTTAAAGTCTTTAAAAGCATTAATTTTAGAAAGATTTTTTTTTAAGTTACTTTAATTTATGAATAAGTTTAAAACCTTTTGCGGCAACTAGCTTTTATAATTTTTATAATTAAACTTACGATTTTTTATCTTTTAAACAATCTTTTAAACAAACATTTAATTTTTTGAAAATTTTTTTTTTTTCTAATCACAATAGAAATGAGTTGAAATCATTTATAATTTTTTTTAAATTTGTTACGTGAAGCACTTATTAAAAAAGTTGTAATGCTCAAATTAAGTTAAATTAAATTGCTTGTTGGCATTTTATTTTATTTAAATTGCATGCACATTTTATTTGTTTATTTTTTTCCTATTTTTATGAATAAAAGAGTTCGAAACCTTTTTTTAAACTGGACAATAATGAAATTATTAAAAGTTACTATTTTAAAAAGACTACGTTATTTTTTTAAACTATTTTTTTTTTTTGCAACTTTAAAAAAAAAAATGTTTATACAATTTAAAAATATTAAATACAACACTTTTTAATAAATTGGATAAAATTTATTCATTTATTAAACAATCGTTAGTAGTAACTTGTTACTTAATTTAAAAGCATTTTGTGTAACTTTAATAAAACGTTTAAAAAGATTTATTTATAACGTGATTAAAAAATTTGATTTTAGTGCTTATATAATTTCTTTTTCATTAGGAATTTTTTTTTTTGTTAGTTTTTTTTTTTTTTACTTTTTTGTATGTAGAAACACTAAGTTAACTTAGTGTTTCTACATTCAGTGCATTTCTGAAATGTTTAAATCATCAAACATATAAATAATCGTGGTCAAGTTGTCAAGAAATAAAATCATTTGCGTGGTCAAGCCTTGTTACCTTGCATTTATTATCGTTAATTTTTTACTTCTATTATTTTGAGTTAGAGTTATGTAACAAAACAATTGTAAAAGTATTGAACTCATCCATCAAAAATAATTAACATAGTGGCACTCTTCCCGAGTGATTTTTCATAATATTTATAAAAGTTATCAAATCGAAAGCAGTTTTTTTGAAAAACCAAGAGCAACTTTGAAAAATTATTTTAGTATTACAACTTTTTAATACTTGAGTTGTTTAAATAAGAAAATCTTTGGTTTGTTGAAGTTTTTACTTACACTCCTTTTGTTTATGCGTATTACCTTATTTTCATTAGATTGAATTTTTAAAATGCTGCAAAATGTTTACATTAAAATCTTTTGAAATATTTTTGACGAAAAATTGCTATCACAGTTTAGGAGGGAGAGGGGTTCAGGTATATTTGATTGTTTGTGACAGGAGGAAAGGGGTTAAAAATTGACAAATATACGGTGGCGTGCTTTATGGATGACCCATAATAGCATTTGCAAACGATTGTAAATGCTATTATGGGTCTTTGTAAATGCTTTTTTGAACTGATATTTTTTTATATTAGGAGAATAGCAGTTAAATCTTTTTTTTAATGTCTAAATTCAAATATTTATATTAATCTTATTTTTATTTAATTACGTGCATTTATGTCAAATAAATTAAGTATACACAAAGAAATAAAAAAGCAATAATATAAATAATTTTAATTAGCATTAAAAAAATAAAAATATTTTTTTCTAAATTCTCCTAATATAAAAAATTTCAGTTGAACAACGAAATAATAATTACTTAATAAAATAATTCATTTTGTTAACGAAAAAGCGCCAGAAATTTAGTAAATGCTTGTAATTTTAACTTACATTACACAATTTTAAAATAAAAATATGCTTTAACTAAGCATCCTTATTCAAAACTTCAAATGTAAAATCGTAACATTTAACATTCTTTCGCATATATTAATTAAAAAGCTTAAGTTTTTTAACTAAATTTTATAAAAAACAAAATTTTATCATGTTTTTGTTAACTTATCTTGTTTTTGTTAATCATGTTTTTATTACATGAAAATTGCAAAAGTTCATTCGTTATTTTCTTAAAATATATATATTTTATAAATTATAAAATCTGACCAACAACAATTTCAACATGTTATCTCCATTTTCATGCTAATTTAATTCCAATTATGCAAATAAATTTATGGTTAGAATAACATTTTACAATGATACCTTTATTATCATGCGACAATGAGAATAACCGTAACTTTCGGGGGCATAAAAATGACTTGAATAAATTAATTTTAGTATTAAAGATATATTTTAAATAAACTTTCATGTGTCTTCAATATTTATTTGACAAAAGTTGATATATATATATATATATATATATATATATATATACATATATATATATATATATATATATATATATATATATATATATATATATATATATATATATATATATATATATATACACAACCCTGAAAATTAGGGTCGGCATTTGGCAATGCCGACCTAAAAATGTTTGAGGTTGACAAAAAATTGTCGACCTTGTTTCTATGTTTTGTGGTCAAATCTTTGTATCAAATAATTTTTCCTGACCTGATGCCGACCTCAAAAAGATTGAGGTCGGCAATAATTTGTTGACCTCATTTTTCCTTATTCCGAGGGTTGTATATACAGACACACCATTGTTTGGTATATTTTTAACTTACCGTTAAATGTCAAAATTAAGTAAACCAAGTTAAATAAACCAAAAAAGTCTAAAAGCTTAAAAAAAAAATCTTTCAATTAGAAAAACTTTTATTTTTCAAATTTTTAAGCAAACTTTGAACTAAATATTTGAACTCTGCATTTGTTTTTCTGTCAATTTTATATTAAACATATACATAAATTTATAAAAATAATTTTAATTGAGTTAAATATTCTTAAGGGAATTGTTTTATGTTTTAAGGAACTGAGTTTATGTGGAGGTTGCAGCATCAATTAAAGTATTTTGTTAACCAAAAGATATCATCTGACCCCCTTTGGCAAGAATGTACTATTTATCTATCAGGGCATGATGTAAGTTAATATCTATATTTGATAAAATTATTAATTTTATATCGTGAAGTTGCATCATTGTTAAAAATTTGTTTTAAATGCTTTTTGTTTCATGGACAAAGCAGAAATTAAAAATACTTTTCAATTCAACTATTGATACTGATGATCTTTGTGAAATCTTTAAAAAACAATTTTTAATTTTTAACAAGTAGCTATCTTTATGAAATGGCTGCTAGTAAATGTGAATTAAAATGGGCCACACTGAAGTATAAGGTCAAATCTAAATTAAAAAATCCAGTAGATGATTAACAACACAAACTAATAGTTGAACCTCTATTGGTGAGTAAGGTCCACGCAAGTAGCAGTCAGTTGTGTGTGTGTGAGAGAAGGGGTAGTTGTGATAAATCGCCAAGTTTCATATAGCCAACTGTATCTATAAAAAGGTTTCAATTTGCCAACTAAAGGTATATAAAGAACCTAATGACATAAAAATTCATTACCTAATGACATAAAAATTCATAAAATTTTTTTATGTCTTTAGTTCGCGCTGGGATTTTATTTTTCTTACACATTTTCTGACCTTTTTTACAAAGTAAAAAAACAACAAATTCTATGCATATACTAGAGTTGTAATAGAGTTTAATCATTACCCAATGGCTGAGTTGGATGAAATAAAATGAAATAGTTACAATCTTTAAGAAAATATTTTAATGTCTTCAGTTGCTGCTAGAGGGCTGAGTCTTTACGAAAAAACACAATTTTTATTTACAACAAAGTAATTTTAACTTCTCATTAGTGTAATACATTTGTTCTGAATGTCTTCTGAAGATTTAGTTCATTATTTTATAAATTTATTTACTAAAGCATTATTTTATTGGGAAAAAGTTATAGCAAAAATCATTAACAAAATTTATTTGCTTTCACTTGTCGTTACTGTTACGATAATGGAGCAAAAGTTATAAAAATAAAAGGCCAAATTAAAAATGAAAGGCCAAAATAAAAATAAAATGTAATAAACCAAACATTTTATGCCAATGGTTACAGCAATGATTTTTAAATGACATTAAAGTATGTAAAATATCACTAATTATGTCATTTATTACCATCACCATCAGCATTTTTTACCGCAACTTATGTCTATAATTAAAACGTTTATAAATATTCAGAAAAATAGCAAAAATCTGTTTATTAATAAAAAAAATTGAAATCAAAGAAAATTTTAATGGCAAAAATGTCTTCTGCTACAGTGACAACAAGGAAAAAGTTTATAAGTTCTATCTTTGGTTTACCAGCAGACTTACGTGAAAATGTCTTGCCAACATACAAACATGTCATGCTAAGTTATCTTTTTTCAATGCAGAAAATGAGAGTGGAAAGTGGTGGAAAACAACTTTCTTTGAAAGAAATATTTGAAAGTTTGGCACACAAAATATACAATTTGTTTGAAAAAGCATCGATACCTACTGTGTCTCAAATGGATTGTAAAAATGTTTCTTGATTACAATTAAATGTATAGAATTATTATGAACTATTAACATTAAATTATTAACAAAACGAAAAATACAGACAAATTGAAGTCCAAAGTAATAACTTTTAAAAGCATGCAGAAAATAATTTATTTGATGTTGCAGCATGCAAATACCTTGATTTTTCTAAATGCATCTGTGAAAAATAAAGAATTTACAAGAGAAAGAACATAGTTTTCTCTGGGATCAGAGATTTATGAGGATTATGTATATGCAACAGTTCTATATTCAAACTACTTTAAGATTATGGCAAAAAGAAGCAAGAAAAGACAGAGTATATAGCCTCTTACTGTATAATCCATCAACATCTTGTGCTATTACAGGTCAAGCAATATCATCAAGCCACATTCAGAGTTCAAGTTTTTATTCTATATCTCCAGATTCTGACTGATGACATGGTGATTTGGAATACTGACTCAGAAACAGATGCTGATTATTTAGACACAGCTGAAGGCTGCAAGCGAAAATTGAACAGAAATAATGAAACTGAACAAATGAGATCACTGTTACTATTCTTAGCACAAGCCTGCGATAAAGTAGGTGTTTCAAGCAGAGTTGCTGCATTTATAGCATGTGTTGTGCTGGAAGACATAATTTCAAAAGGAGACCAATCTAAAGTAATTGATAAAAAGAAGATTCAAAGATAATGAAAGAAAAACAGACTTAAATTGCAACATTTAGACCATGAAAATATTCAAATGTTAGAAGGTTTGTATTTTGATGGAAGAAAAGATACAAGATTAGTTATTGATACAAACAAGGAGAAAAGTATACGAAAAACTATCAAAGAAGAACATGTAATTTTACAGCATTAAGATTAGTTGCCATGGGTTGTGATGGAGCAGTTGTCAATACCGTATTTCTTAATGCTGTTGTTGCTTTGATCGAATTAGAATTAAAAAAACCTGTCCACTGGTTTATCTGTCAAATACATGCTAATGAATTCCATTCGTCGCATCTAATTTAAAAACTATATGGACCAACATCAGGACCTAACAGATGGTCTGGACCAATCGGAAATTATGTTGGATGTAGCAAACCATCACACACGCTGAGAGAAATAGTTAAGTTCGTTATTAAAGTTTACTACCAAATGAAGTTTAATATAAGATATAATCCCTCATGTACAGAAGGTGCTAGACATATATGGCTAACCTTCAATTTATCCAGGTATGCCAGTAGTGAAATAAAAAGTATCATCGATCCATTTATACAAAGGAATGCTTTTTTTGCGCATCCTAAAAACATGCTTCTTGCTATGATATTGGATACTTGCCTAAATATGAGGATATTGGCTTTACAACAAATAATGAAAGCAAGATTGATGAAAACAAAGTTCGAAAGTTCTCTATACCAGAAGTCAATTTTAAAGCAAAAGACTATAAAGACCTAATTGATTAGAAAAAATGTGAACTAAATGAATCTCTGATTACCACTCACATTTCAGATGAAAATTTTATTGAAATGTTAACAAATAATTATCTTCCAGATGTGCAGCATTTTCCGTGCCATACTCAAGGAGTAAAGAGATGCATCAAACTTGTAACCGAAGCTTCAGATCAAGTTTGCATTTTGGCTAGTAGAGACAGCTTCATTCATGCAAGACTTGCAACATGAAAAATAATGCCTTTATTCAAGGCAAAGAGACATTTTGAAGCGGATCCAAATGAATCAGATAGTTGAACTTTATTACAGCTAAACTTTAAACATTTTTCAAAAACATTTTCCATTCTATTAAAGCCTTAATTGTACATTATGGACTGCAGATCTTGTTTGCCAGAAACTTATGAAACAGTGTTTTTTTGTAAAAAATCACCCTTCTAGCAGTAACTGAAGACATTGTAACCATAATTGTAACCATTTCTAACTTAGTCATTGTGTAATGTTTAAACTCTATTACAACTCTAGTATATGCATAGAATTTGTTTTTTTGTTTTTTTAAAATAGAGCAGAAAACGCGTTTTTGTAAGTAAAATAAAATCCTAGCGCAAACTAAAGATATAAAAAAAATATTTAAAAATTTGGCACAATTACATTTCTAAATAATCCAATAGTTTTTAAAGGTCAGTATTGAAATTCATTGATGAAATTTTGCTTCAAATACAAGTTTATGAATTTGAATGAGCTTAAAATATTTGTTGTTTCACATAAAAAGATCTTTATAAGTTAAACATAAAATGCCCATGTGTCTTGATGCAATTTAACATAATTGATATACTAATTCTCTTGATATTTACAATTATGTCATATTATATATTACATACAATTATATCTTTATACAAATACAATTATTTACAAGTAATGCTAATCAATCGTTAGCTTTAATACAATCATTAACTATATTTACAGTTTTATTCACAAGCTTTAGGAATTGTCCACAAATTATGTCACACAGTTTTTGACTGTTTTCTGTTCCTTCTCTCTGCGCCACAACAGTCCTATACTTGTCATCACAGAACCCACTCTCTTAGATCATGATGTAATTTATGGGCAACCGCTTATGTTACAAGGAACAATAAATGGCAGACACATGAAGTTGTTTTGAGGGGAAAAATAAGTACTTTCCTTTAAATAATACCAAGACACACATGAAAAGCCATTGCTATTCCCCAGTTTTACGATTAAGTTGTTGGGATTAAGTTGTTTTTATCTCATTAAATACTCATCAGTTAAAAGCAAAATCAATCATATATTTCACATTAGGGTGGTTCAAATTTAGGTCAAAAAATTTTTAAAAACTTAGTTTGTTGTCCAAACAAAGGTTCTACATTTACACCAAATTGTCCAGATTCGGGAGAGAACTGCTGCGTTATATCTAAGCTGAAAGTTTGATGGGATTTATATTCAGAACTCGTGACATACAATGCGTTTTACGGTTAGTAATATTTATGAAATCTTAATCTAAATTAGCTTTACAGTTATTTAATAAGTCTTATTTTTAGGAAAGAAGTCGAGGCTGTAGTAATGAAATATAAAAAGCTGCAATCGCTAAGAAACAGATCAACACCAAGAGCAATAAAAGATAGAGAGAACTTCTTAATAGAATCTAAAAGGGTATTCTGGTTAGGACTTGACATACAAATCATGATTGATGAAATAAAAAAGGATAGAAAAAGAACTGAAGAAAGTAAATGTATGGACATTATGTTCTTGAAAATGCAGAAGGAAAAAAGACAAGGTTGTCTAGGCATTTCTGATACTTGCTTCAAAAAGTCTGCAAAAAGATCTGAAAAAAAAAATTAAAAGTGAATCATCAGAGAAAATAAGAGATTTAGATACAACTTATAGCTCAGAAGGTGATGTTAGTGATTTTTCTTTAAGCTCAGAATGCCTCAAGTCTGTTACAAGTGAGTCAAATGACGATTCTCATGAAGAAGAGCAAAGTTTATTAATGCCTAAAGATATTTTAAAGCGTACAGCACTAACTGCTGTAGGAGGTCTTTCTATCAATCAGCACACTGCTATCATAAGCAGTGTTATAGCAATTTCAGGAGGAGAAATAAATAAATTTGTTGTTTCCAAATCATCATCTCTTCGAGCTGTAGATAAAGTAATAAATTCGGAAGCTCAAAAAATTAGACAGTATATAAAAGACTTGACTGACTCCAAATATAAACTGATTTCTGTTCAATTTGACGGGAAAATATTAAAAGAATATACAGATAAAGTTTCAGTTACAAGAGAAAGATTAGCAGTACTAGTGAAAGTGAATGGGAAAACTGAGCTCCTAGGTATTCCTCATATTGAGTCAGGTTCTGGGGAAAATCAGTTTAGAGCAGTTTATAATCTATTAGATTCTTTTAGTCTTAGTCATCATATACAGTGTATATGTTTTGATACTACGCTTCAACACTGTTAAGCACCAAGGAGTTATAACAAGAATGGCTGATATGCTGGGAAGGCCACTACTTTTCCTTGCCTGTAGACATATATTGGAAAGACATCATATTTTGGAAAGACATATTACCCACTTTAACAAGATATATCCCAGTAGTAAAACGTCTGGTCCAGAAAACCAGCTTTTTAAACACCTGAAATCTGTTTGGAATGATCTTGAAAAAGACATTGTTACATTGAAGAGGATTGAAACTCCAAATGGAACTTGGATAAATAAACAACATCTTGAAGCTGAAAAATTCTACAGAGATGCAATAGATAATAGGATCTACAAAAAGGTTAATTACAGTTTTGTAGTAGCTTGCTTTAAATAATTTAAACAACCTGTATACACAATCATAATAAAATAAATCATAATCATAAATATAAAAAATCCTTTTCTTTTAGGATGGTAAATCAAGAAAGGATTATCAAGAATTAGCGGAACTTTCTTTGGTGGTAGTTTCTCAAAAAGATAGGTTCAAATTTTGTAATCCTGGTCCAATACATCATGCAAGATTCATGTCAAAAGCGTTGTATTATCTTAAAATGTATTTACTATTGGAAGCTATTCCAAGTTTATCAGAAGAAAATAAAGAAGAGATTCGTGAAATGGCTATGTTTGTCGGTATCTTTTACACTCAATGGTTTCTTAGAGCAGTATCGGCAACTGCTGCGCCATATCAGGTTAAAAATAATCATTATAAATAAGAAAAAAGCGTAAAAAATGATGAGTTAATTTTCCAATTGATGACTTAATCTAATATTGTTAAACATATTTTTAGGATATGAAAGCTCTGTGGCAGATGAAGAGGTTCATGGATATAAATCTTCTTGGAGCTACTTTAGCAATAAAATCATTTGACAGACACAGCTGGTACCTTGATCCTGCCTTAGTTGTGCTTGCATTAGCAGATAAACATTGCCCAAACAGTGAAGATATTGTCACATCATTATACAATAAACTTCCCATCAAACCAATAGTGTATCCACTTGAACGTGTTATGGTCAATAAAGAGGTTCTTCACTCTCTAGACTTTTCACAAGACCAGCCTCCATCTCTTTGTTCTCTAATAACTGAGCAATCTTGGCTCATCTTTGATAAGATGGAACATAGAAAGGGTGAGTTGCAGTGGCTAAAGATCCCCTCGCAGTTTTGGAAGTTTAACGATTTTTATCTTGAGTTTGAATCTACTATTAAATCTCTAGATGTGGTTCGTCAGAGAGGACCATAAATCTAGTAAAAGAGCTGATTGGAAAATCAATGAAAGAGAAGAAGAGACAAGATTTGTTCTTGTTAAACCATGTTTACAAAAGAAATAAAAAAAGGACAAAGAAAAAAGATTTAACATCAAATGTAATTAGTAGTATTTTAAAATACTGATTGTTGGTTATTTAATCAAAGTTTGAAATTATGTTAACTTTATTTTTATTTATTCCCATTTCTCTACCTGCAACTCGTAATAAAGTTATATTATTAGGGGAGTGGTAATCCAACTTCATCTAGATTCATCTCTAAGTTTAACATCAAAAATTATGTAATACATTAAACTAGATTTTGTAATAAAAATACCATAGAACTATACGTTGAGCTTTTAACTTCCTCTTTTTGGGGAGGGTGGCAACTTTACATGGTCATAACTTTTGAACGCTACAATATTAAATGAAATTTGAAATCTGTCGATAAATGTAAATTTAGTTCAGAATAACAATAGTATAAATTTGGGCAACTTATTGCCCTCACCATTAGGGTAGGGGGGGGATAAGTTTTACGGTTTTTTTAGATCTCAGGCTCCAATCACTGGAATTTTTTTAAAGCATCACAATATGATATAAGTATAGATATACGTAGTTTTAAAGTTTTTTCCATATCTACATGTTATTTATCACAAGCAGCAACGAAAGCTACCGCAATCACTGAAATAAAGAAAATCGTTTTTTTGTCAATATTTAGCGACTTTTCTATAAGTTTTTCAGTGTTGAAAGGTAATAATACAAATAGAGTGCCTTTTTATTTTATTATATAGGTTCTTGTAAGAATATGTAAAAAAAAATAATTTGAATTTAATGTTTAAGGGTGGCACACGCGGGTCAAAAAACATCAAAAAAAAAGTACTTTTGGGCCGTGTGCCACCCTTAAACTTCAAAAAAAAAAGAAAAAAAAAGTCCTATATATAAAACAAGGGTCTATGCACCTTATAAACTTCCACTCTAGTCGTAAAAATTTTTTGACCTAAATTTGAACCACCCTATTTCACATTTTATTTTATTTTTTAAACAATTTTATGAATATTTTTTAGGACTGTTTTGGTACTGAATTTTTAACTATTATTAACTATTAGGTACCAGGAGAAGGAGAACATAAAGTGATGGATTTTATTCGTTACTGTAAATCAAAACCAGACTATGATCCTAATACAAGGCATTGTCTTTACGGTTTAGATGCTGATTTGGTAACTCTTTTTTGAAATAATTGTTTTTTATCTATTTTATATTAAATATATTTACAATTATTTTCATTTTTTTGTACTATTAATTAGTTTGTTAAAGTATTTTGACAAGTTAATAAACTTATAGATTATGCTTGGTTTAAGCACCCATGAGCCTCACTTTAGTTTATTACGTGAAGAAATTCGTTATGGTAAACAATCAAAAAGATTACTTCGACCTGATGAACAAACATTTCATTTGCTTCATCTTTCCCTTTTAAGAGAATATCTAGAAATGGAATTTATTATTGTAAAAGTACAAAAGTTTTTGTTTTTTGTTTTACACATGAAATTTTTTTTTTGTATGTTTTACACACACAAAAAATTACACAAAAAAAAATTACATAATTAAAAAAAATTACATAATTAAAAAAAATTACACACACACACAAAAAAAATAATGAAATTTTTTCAAGCAGTTGTTGCAGATAAAAGTGCAATTGTTGTATATAAAATTGCATTTTTAAAGACTACTATTGCAGATAAAACTTAAAATAAAATAGTTGTAAAATGTTTTCAATTGTATTTTATTTAAAAAATGTACTTTTTAGGATTTGCTGCATTTTCGTTTTGACACAGAACGCATTATTGATGATTGGATCTTTCTTGGTTTTCTTGTTGGAAACGATTTTGTTCCCCATCTTCCACATATGCATATCAATCATGATGCATTACCTTATATCTTTAAGATATATAAAGAGTTTTTACCTACAACAGATGGTAATTTTTTTATGTCTTGAATTTTGCAAAAATGAAAATCTTTGTGTGCTAAAAACCTAGTTGAGTTTCATACATAATGATATATAAAATTTGCAAAATTTTGTGTTATTAGTATATTCATAATCAATTTTTAAATCTCACTTTATATAAAATACAACGATTTATAGAAATTTACAAGAGAGACATGGGAGATAACAAAAAATGTTTTATGATGAGCCTAAATTAACATTTATAGTATTTTTATAAATAATAAAAAAAGATCATTTTAAACATATGATCTGTTCAACTATATCTAGGTAATTTTATTATTTAAGTAGTTTTCTTTTAATAACTTTTGATTTAACATTTTCTCTACACAAGTTTTTCATTGTCATAGAAACACTTTCTGCCTTTTTATACTTTTTTCTAGAATACCAAGAAGTTTGTATTGTACAATTATTGTACACAACTTAAAGGTTAAAGTCTTCTTTTAATTACCTTCTTGCTACTTTGCACTTTTCTTTGTTTTGTGTTAACTCCCAACTTAATTAGTGATTGCTGGCAGCATTGTTGTTTTTATTTAATAAGGTTGCAAACAAAAAAATGTTTAAATTGTGACTGTTATCAAAACTTTGTAAAAAAACTATCTTGTGACAACCAAACAGAATATAGGTATAGTATAGAAATCGAAGTAAGAAAGTTGTGAACACAATAAAGGCAACATTAGCAGATGCTGATTTTCTAATGGATTTGATATATTGTTTCCATGAGAGGTCAGCATTAAAAGAAAATTCAAGAAGATGTTAAGTAGGGGATTTAGTCAATGTCACTTGACTCTTTTTGTTACTTTATTGTAAGGGTTAAGCAACTTAATGCAGGGTTGCTACTCAAACTGAAAACCTGGAATACCTGGAGATAGCATGAATCCCAGGGAAAACCTAGAAAACTCAGGGATTTTTTAAAGTTTTAATAAAATTTAGAAAAAGCTCAGGGAAAATATTTTTTTCCTGAAATTTTGTACAATATTTTTTATTTTTTTAATATTTTGCTAATATATATAAGTTTGCAAGATGTAGGTGTTGTTGTAAAAGTTTTGGTTTTTCAAATATAAAGATTGTGTAAGAAGTAAGAAAAATTTTAAGTAAGAAAAATGATAATCTTCTTGACAAACCGGAAAGAATATAGAAAAATCAGAGAAAACTCAGTGAACTTAGAAAGTTCAACTCAAGGGAAAATGTTGTTTACTCAGATAATACTCAGAGAAAAACTTTTAAAATTATAGTGGCAACCCTGTAATAGTTCTTAGGCTGTCAACAGCTGTAGCCAGAATTTTAGTTGTACAAGTGTTAAAAATCTACATGCTTTTTGAAAGACAAGTTTAAACTAAGCTGTTTTGTCTTTAGACCATATTGTTGATGGTCTTAACTAGGTCATAAACTAGTGCATTAAATGTATTTGTTTTTCAAAAAATCAGTTTTATATATATATTTTAATTATTTGCCTCCCCAAGGGGGCCACTACAGTCGAGGAGGCTACTCTTTTTTTTTTTTTCGTTGTAAATTGTGGTACAACCCTCTCTCAACTCTTTAACTCCGAAACATGAACCTTGACTAGCAAGGCCGTTGTGCAGAGAAATTAAGTTGAGCGCGGTATTTCCAGGGACGTGGTGGGAGTCGAACTCCGAACCTCTTGCTTACAAAGCGAGCGCTCTTACCACTACACCACTACCGCATATATATATATATATATATATATATATATATATATATACATATATATATATATATTTTACAACTATTTTTTTACGTGTTTTGCTAAGCCTTACTTTAAAACAAAGCTCAAAGTTATAAAATGCATCGGTCAACATCAAAAAATACAAAGTGCCTTGGCTAGAATGAGAATAACACAGTTAAAGTAGGAGATTATTTTAGGAGAATAGTTAGCAAATCTTTAGAAGTACAATATAACCAGTATTCTCCAAATAGCAGTGGTCTAAATAAAAACCACTTTCATATGGTGAAGCAGTTACTATTAGAGCTATTTTTTTATAATGATGTTTTTATAACATCATTTGACATCATTACGCTTGCAAGGGGTCAAAATTTGTGGGTTTTTTTGATGACAAAGTAATTTATTAGTTTTTAAAAGTTCATAAGTTATCTTATTTAATATATTTATTTAAAAGGATCCCCAATTGCCGAGACAAGTTGTGTTCATATTAAAGAAAATGTTTTAAAAAAAAAATTGGGGCATAATTTTTTTGATTAAAACTATACAATGAATGCACACCATTAAACTTAATAATTTATTCCATGCGTGTTTAATTCATAACAGTTTCGGTATTTGACATCATCGTATAAATTTTTTCCTTCAAAATGTTGTATTATTATTATTTTATTTTTTTTTGCCACAATCACCAAGTCATGTTAATTGTATAACTTTTTACTAAATCCCCAAAAAAAGTTTATGATGAAATTAGGAATTAAATTTATAAAAATAAAAATTTAATATATAACAAGTATTTACAGTAAACTTACTGGTTTAAATATAAACTTGATACTAAAAAGATAATTTTACTAAAGCGTATAAGTTAATTTAAAGTACAAGCTGAATAAATGAGTGACTTGAATAAAACATATAAACTGAATTAAGTAGAAAATAAATATTAAACAAATTATTTTACTAATAACCATTCAAATCAAACTAAATTAAAGTTAAAACAAATATTTGTACTAAAATATACAAAAAATAGTTATAATATAAATATAAAAACAAAGAGTCGCATTAAATTGTTCGCTACCAGCCAAACAAAAATCTTTTTGCAGCAACTGCACATTTTTTTGAATAACATTTGACAATTATTTAAAATTCGATAGCATAACAATGACAATTATTTAAAATTCGATAATAATAGTTTTTAACACGCATCATTAAATAATCAGAGAAAACTCAGTGAACTTAGAAAGTTCAACTCAAGGGAAAATGTTGTTTACTCAGATAATACTCAGAGAAAAACTTTTAAAATTATAGTGGCAACCCTGTAATAGTTCTTAGGCTGTCAACAGCTGTAGCCAGAATTTTAGTTGTACAAGTGTTAAAAATCTACATGCTTTTTGAAAGACAAGTTTAAACTAAGCTGTTTTGTCTTTAGACCATATTGTTGATGGTCTTAACTAGGTCATAAACTAGTGCATTAAATGTATTTGTTTTTCAAAAAATCAGTTTTATATATATATTTTAATTATTTTATATGTTTTATATATATATTTAACTGCACATTTTTTTGAATAACATTTGA